TCCTCACAGAGGAGGGAGAGCTTGTACCTGAATAAAACTTGGTCTTAAAGGTGCTACTGGACTGTTTTGGACCAGGGGGCCGGGGGAAGCTCTGCAACTTACCTGGCTGCTTCTTGCTCTGACTGAGGGCTGCTGGAAGCAGGGGGTGGGGCTTGTTGCATGTGCCCGCCCCCTGGGCTCTTTACTGCCGGAGCTCCACTCCTGTGCACTCCTGCAGGAAATGACCCCTGATTGTAACAATCTGTGTGTCAGATTCTCTGGAATCCCACCTTTGTTTATTTTTAAAAGGTAACTGTCTAGCCTGTTTTGCTGAAGAGGTATGCCAAACCAAACGTTTGTTACGGTCATAAGACCAGTCATAATAAATACAGATAAAAAGGACAAGTTAAAATGAATAAATACATAAAAGATATGGGATATATGTGTAAAAAACACACTCATTTCATTAATTTATTTCCCAGCAACTGATGTTTCTTTCATCAAGTGATACTGCTTTTTGAGTGCTATCACACAGAATATTGCTACTGCATATGATACAGTTCTCTGAACCCTAATAGATATACCCAAAGGGTTTCAAGACTAAAATCTATATATTTCTGTAATGGTTTGAATCTGCAGAGTAATGGAGTAATTAATTGTAGCCTTTCTTCTTGATAGAATTTGCAGTGCAAAAGTATATGTGTGATAGAGTCAACCACTTTGTTTGAGGTATGCCTTTTCCCCTTATATCTCCTCTACAGACTTAGTTTTCAGTGAGACAGCTGGGAATTTGGAGAACCTTACAAAGAGTATTATAATGTCATAGCAATATGACTGTATTAAGCGGCTGATTTTCTTAAACGAAGAAAAGCCTCCCCCCCCCATAGTGGGAGGAGGATATGGCTCATAGGGACAGTGTGAGGGAAAATAGCTGCCATGCATGCAGGAAAATCCAAACTTTCCCACCCATATGGCAGCCATGTAAGCTTTATTGTGATACTTTCCAAAATTTCACAGCAAAGCAGATTTGAGAAAGATTCAGACTGATTTCGCACAAGGAGCTGCGCCGCCATCGCACCTTCCTTTGCCCCGTTTCCATTGGTCAATTGCCCGCATGGCCACATTTTGAAAAACAGGATCACGAAACCACGGGGAAAATCGGGCGAAGCCGTGGGTCAAAATGCGGCCGCGTGGCTTCGAGTGGGAAATTGACCAATGGAAATGGGGCAAAGGGAGGCGCGACGGCGGTGCAGCTCCTTGTGTGAAATCAGCCTCAGAGAAAAGCCATGGCAACCCCAGGAGGTGTATAAATCAATCACAATGCTGGGGAGAAGGAGGGAAAAAACTACTTACCAACAGCAGAGAAGCCAGGACAGGTACCCTGTATGGAGATGGCCCTTTCCCCATGTGGCTTGTTAATGCTAGACTGGGGCAACTGAATTCAAATCCCAGCTGAATTGACTGGTAGCTTTCATCATGTCACAGTCTCTTTTCTGCTTAATGCTAGACTGGGGCAACTGAATTCATATCCCAGCTGAATTGACTGTCACAGTCTCTTTTCTACAGTTTGCCATTTATACTCGTAAATGAAATCCTGTTTCAAATGCCTATTATGAATACAAATCAGCTAAGTATTATATAGCACCATGCACACTAAGAACTACGACAATACGTTTTTATGGAACGGTATGTTTTTTTAATTTCAGAATTGAAAATTATTTTATTAGTGCAGCATAGTATTTATGTCTATACATTAATATGTCTCATAAAAACAGAAAACTGACTTGAATATATCTGTGGTGATACCATTAATCTCATTAAATTTCTAAATGGCACTGCATTGTTATATTTAAATAGGTACAAATCACATTGATTGCCAATTTATATTTGAATAGCCTTACGCACATGCTGCTTATTCTAATTGAAGCTGTTCATATCTGCTTCACCAAAATTGTTTTATGCTTATACGTGACCCCTTGGAAGGATGAGTCATGACTTCAAAGAAACATGCAAAGCTGTTTTACAACATGGCTTTTTCAGCCCACCCATCATTAAGGAGCTAATTGTCTAAAACTAGGGTGAGTTGCATTCTGCCCCTAGAGTTACAATGCTTTGGAAACACAATTAGCCACTAATGACATCTTTCTATGATAAGATTGTACCATTTGTCATTTCCGTACACTGTATTCTTTATATTATGCCAAGACAATATGCAATTCAATTAAAGTCATCATCAGGCCACATGCAATTACTTTGTTAAAGATGGTACCGTGGGCATCAAGCTCTTGAAGAGAACATGTTTTGTTTTGTTTTTTGCTGTTATTCATTAGAGTTTCTGCAGTTGTTGGGTACAATTTCAAAATTACTATTTCATTCTGTAAAAAAATTAAAATGAAGCTATGATGGCCCTGGGGAGCTGCGGTAGCTCAAGTGGTTAAGACGCTGAACTGCAGGCTGTGGAAGGTCGGTAGTTCAGCAGTTCGAGACCCAGGTGCTGCATGACGGAGTGAGCTCCCGTCTCTAGTTCCAGCTCCTGCCAACCTAGCAGTTCGAAAGCAAGAAATTTGGTGGGAAGGTAATAGCGTTCCATGTGCCTTGGTGTTTAGTCATTCTGGCCACATGACCACGGAAACGTCTTCGGACAGCGCTGGCTCTTTGGCTTTGAAATGGAGATGAGCACCGCAACCCTAGAGTCGGATTCGACTGGCTTTCGAGCAAGGGAACCTTTACCTTTACCTTTATGATGGCCCTATCCACTTCTCTCCCTCAGAGGCAAGATTTGCCCTCCCTTTTTTCCCCCTTTATTGACTGAGCCACCCTAGTAATGTGTTTTCTTCTTTGCTGAAGAACTCTGGCTGTCCCACCCTGTCACAGTATGATTTTTTGGCTGTTGGCTCAGCCCAGGAACCTGAAGGAAGGCTCAGGAGCCAGCTTTAACTTAAACAACTTAAATGGCACTCCAGGCCTTTTGAAATTCAAAAATAACTAAATATTTTATTTAACATAGAGGGGAAAGGTCAGGGGTTGAAATTTCTGAGGTAAAACTAGTATGTACACAGACTTTAGTTTTTATGTTTCAGGCTAAGAAGAGGCTCTTGTTCCAGTGTTTTCCCCAAACACTTCAGTACACTTTATTTGAGTATTCTCTGACTTTTTTCAGTTTCCAGAAGGCTGGTACACTCTTTTCCAGTACCCAGCCCCCTTCTCTTGAAACACCAGTACTCATCTTGAGTTTTTAACTGACTCTTAATGTCTCTAAAGGCCATTTCCTACCACATCAGACCATGGATCTCTGCACTCTTCAGAGCTAACTCCCTGTTTTATTGGGTAGAGGACCTTCTTCTCTCTTTAGAAGATCTATCCCTTTTCCATGACCCAAAAGGGTGTCTTTACCTACTTCCCAAACTTTCTTGCCAACTTTCCACAGTTCTCCTGTCTGTGTTAAACTGCTCTCAGTGCAGGCTGAATTCTGAAACTGTTAGTACTCGACTCCTGTCAGCTGAGGCTAAAATCAGACTCAACTCCGTCAAGGCAGAAATCTGACTGTCTCCTCAGCATGCAGTTATCTCAAGACTTTCCCTAGATGCTAACCTTGGAGCAGCCTGTCACTCAAGGTTCTCTGGCTCTGTGAAGAATTAACACTTCACAGTTCTATGTCTGTTTATACAATACTTCTAAGCTTTTAAAAGTGCAGTCTGTCACAGAAGCATGACTTATGTTTCTTCCAAAAATTGGCCCCATGGTAAGATCTCATCAGACATCATAAAGTCGTCTGCTTCTCCAGCTTTTGGGTGCATTTGTCTCATGTTTGTACTTTTTTACTTATTAGGGTTGTGCATCAAAGAGGCCAATATTTCAGCATGTTCCAGAAGTCTCAAATAATATCCAAGAATAGTCCCATTTGGAGCATATTATAGTAATGCTTCCTTAGGTTTACAAGTATGAAGGATGGCGGCCAGATCTTTTTGTGCCTGCTGTATCAGGGAAGTGAGATCTATCGAAAACAGAACAACAACAAAAAAACTCTCCTGGCCATGGTAGAAAATATCAACAACTATACATGTGAATCATAGTGTAAATGTACTGTTGCAAACTTACACAAAACAGTACGTATACATCTCCCCCACCCCACCCCACCCCCAATGAATCTACATGAAAAACAGTCTGGACTTCCACATCATCTTTATAGACATGTGGAATGGATACAGATGTTGGAACAAAAGATAGGAGAGAGAGCCCAAGGATACATATACAACAATGGTCAGGTCTGCTGTTGACGTGTTCATTTTTTTATTGTGCTTACTTGCAGAAACAATATGAGTTCATCTTCCTAAAGGCAGAATTTGGTGCAGGAAGGTGGCACCCACATTTATATATTTATATACACAATTGTTCAGGAGGGTATTTTTGTAAAGGAAAAAGGGATTTAGTATATAATAGGATACCTCAGGAGGGTGCTTTTGTAAAGGGAACAGGATTGTAATCTTTCCCACTCTTTATTTATTATCTTGCTTTTACACTATAACCTTCTACTTCTGTAATTTCATTTTCTGCATTGCTTATGATACATAATGAAATATACTTTTTTGCATTTTTAAAAAATTGCAGTCGTAGCCCTATTGTATTGTTTATTGGCTATCGTATGCTTTTTGATTGCATTGCTTTCTGTTGGTAACCCACCTTGAATCTCAGCAAGAAAGACAGGCTACAAAACAAACAAATGAACAAAAAGCTCAGAATAGTTTATATATGAGGATATTTCAGTATGAGAGCCCCATCTCCAGTGTGAAGTGGTATAGATCAAGAAGAAGAATGGCACCCCATAGTTCTTTGGTCATTTGGCTTGGCTTGAGGTTCTCTGAAAAGCTGCTTATTTGTGCACATGCGCTCTCTCTCTCTCTCTCTCTCTCTCTCTCTCTCTCTCTCTCAGCAGTCTAATATTTTGCTTTGTGGCTGTGCAAAGCAAAGCAGGTTGTTAACAATTGTCACTTTTGTATATTTCTCTCTCCCCCCCCCCCCAGAATGCCTACGTGAATATCAATCGCATCATGTCAGTCGCATCTAGGCTTTCAGAGGCTGGCCATTACGCATCTCAACAAATTAAGCAGATCTCCACCCAGCTAGATCAAGAGTGGAAGAGCTTTGCCGCAGCACTGGACGAGCGCAGCACTATACTGGCCATGTCTGCCGTGTTTCATCAGAAGGCTGAACAGGTACGGAGTGGCTGATGTGTCAGATACTCTTTTTGTAAGCTGAATCTTTGGCCTTATGGCTGGCTTTGGCCTGATTGTTCTTTTGTTGGTAATATTTGTTGATGATGATAACAACAACAACAACAACAACAACATTCTTGTTATTATTATTAATGTCATAGGCGTAATCTTCGTGGGGGCGGCGGGGCTTCAT